GTCAGATTTGAAATATAATCATCCAGTTAATTTTAAATCCAATAATGCCGACGTAAGTTTTGGTTGTCAGGATCTGTATATGTTTATAAAACACAAGTCAACTGTAATTCTGGAGATTAGCCAAAAATTGGATGAATTCTACGCTAAATATCGGATCAAAAATTGTTCATTTGTCACAATATATTATATAATATTACACGTGTTTTTCTATATAAGTAACATTTACACCGTATACATGTCGGGCAGTAATATATTCCAATGTGATCGCGCTGAAATTACTATGAAATTCAACCACCATGCTGCTATATCCATATTTTTTATTAGTGGCTGGAAATTATTCTCCTTGCTATATTATTATGAAATTTACACTAAATATCTTAATGTTTTGAGCGTGTTTGAAAAACAAATATTATTATTACCTCGTTATCCAGCTAGGAGATTTATGAGGCAAATTTTGGACACCCTGGTTGATTTTAAACAGAATGATCAGTGTATTTACAATTGTATAACTTGTATAAAGTATTTTATCGTGGTAATTCATGTAATTACCAATTGCATGGAGATTTGGTACAGTTATCTCTCGTATGTAAAGAGTGATTATTTTATGTGTTTATTGTTTTCAGTGATGTTTTTTACATCGTTTACATATTTTATGTTAATATTTATTAAGATAATTAGAAATGAAAATGTTATTTATAGAATTAAATCTACTATGATAATATGGAAAGATCATATTGAAAAGCATAATAAACGTATTGTCAAACATGTAATAATGACCGAGATTCAGATTTATCAATAGTTATTTAAGTATGTAATTAATTATTTACTTATCACTGATAAGTTATTACAATTTATTAATATTATAACTAATCTTATTGTATTAGATTGTATGTAAATTAATCTTAATCTTTATTTACTGTAATCTATATTTTAAACTAATAATTGGATAAATTATTAACTAATCTAAATCCTATAATTAATAATTCAATAAATTATGTATTAGAATACTATGTTTAATAAAATAAATAATTAAAAATAAATTACATGTATTTTATTTATATAAACTTTACAATTTAAAACAAAACAAACTTACAGTTAATAATAACGTGGCATAGTAACAATAATATAGATAATAGTAAGACATATTATGATTAAAATTAAAATTAAGTTAGTATGCTTGAAATAAATACTTATTAATTTGCATAAATAACGTATAACTAATTAAAAACGATCGATAGATTGTTTGTAATTAAGCACCATATTTGCAAACAATTTTGTTTTACAATAAAAACAATAAACATGCCACAAATAAAACTAATATTAATACATATTATTTTTAAATTTTGCCTTGCTAATTGCGCGGTGCAAATTGGAATAGCGCCTGATCAAATACCACCATTGTCCATCAATGTGGTGCAGCCCAATGCGATCGAGACGTCGGCAAAATCAGCCTCAAAGCCAACAATTTTCATGAGCGAGGGTATTTTTGTACATTTACAATTATAGTATCATTATTATTAATAATTTTGTTAGTAGAGTGATCATAATAATTAACACTACATATATTTGTGAACTAAAATTAATTTATATTGTGTATTTTAATCATTTAAAAATAATTACTGATTTTAAAATTATTTTATTAACGTTATTACAGATGTGGCCAAACAGGTATCAAAATTGACACTAAGTGGCGTGGGGGCACCCATACCGGCCATGGCGTTTGGCACCAAGGACATTGTCTACAACAAGCAAGCCACATTGTTACGGCGATTTAACAACGACCAAAAAGCGGCCGAGGTGATAATCGAGGCGCTTAAATCGGGCTACAGGCACATCGACTCGGCCTACTTCTACAACGTAGAGCACGCCATAAACATAGCGTTGGCCCTACTGTCCAGCAAAAACCTGATCAAACGGCACAACCTGTATATCACCACAAAAGTGTGGATGACTTTTCATCGCAGGGATCGGGTGCTCAAGGGTTTGAAAATATCCCTGGTCGACATGGGCGTGGAGTATGTGGACATGGCCATTTTGCACTACCCCACTGGGCTCCAGGATGGTGCAGAAATCTGGCCACTCTACGGGAATGGGTCATCGATGCCCCGGTCTTATGAGAAAAATGATTTTCTAGAGGCCTGGAAGGGTATGGAAAAGGCCAGTAGGCTGGGCATTGCCAAGGCTATAGGTGTGGCCAACTTTAACGCAGATCAGCTCAAAACACTATTAAGCAAAGCGACAATTAAGCCGGCGGTTAACCAGGTGTGTAAAAAAATATAACTAATATTAACTTATAAAGTACAAATACAAAACTTATATAAATATTCAGTATACAATGCATTTTTATCTATTTGGTTAGCAATAATGTTTGAATGTTGTATTTTAATAAATGATATTATACTATTTGACCTAGGTGGAGTGCAATCCGACGTACCAGCAAAACGAGATGCTCGAGTTTTGCAACCAAAACGGCATAAAAATGGTTGCCTATTCGCCGTTGAGAGGCGGCGACTATCAGTTGGTGGACAACCCGGTGCTCGCGGCGATTGGCAAAAAATACGGTAAAACTGCCGCACAGGTGGCCCTGCGCTGGAACTTTCAACGCGGTGTTGTTGTGCTGCCAAAGGCGGCCAAAAAGAAACACCAGGATGATAATATAGATATTTTCAATTTTGAATTGGCCCAGGAGGATATGGATAAAATTGCTAATATTCCCCAGTTGCCCCGTGTCCTACAAGTGCCCTCATTGGTTAATCACTCTGATTATCCGTTTTAAACAAAATGTTTTATGTTTATGCAAAATAAATTACTTTTTAATTAGTGATAATTTATTAATTGTTGGTTAAATAAAAATTATTGTTTACTTTTATTTTGATTTTTAAATAAATAATAAAATGTATATAAATTATGTCATAAAATATATAATTATATACACGAGTCAGTAGTGCATTATTTTAGGTACAATACAAGGTAGCATGAGTATAATTGTAATTAAATTACTGTTCATTAATAATAACAATATAATATAATAATAATACTGTACCTATAAATATTATAAATAATAAGTCATTATTCCGTAAAATTATTGACATTTGTTAAATTTAGATTACAACTATTTAATATAATATAAATATTCCATTGCTAATTGATATTCATAGACATAACAATTCACACAAACTACTCATTAACTTATCTTGTATAATAATCAGTATAATAATGTTTACTACATTTGGTCGTATAAATGAGTGCAACATTATTAATTTATTGATAAACAATTAAATTAAGCCTAACAAAAATATATTTTTTTTATATAAATTATATGTTGTTATTGTATTAAATATTTAATGGTTATTGAATTATAGTTACAAATTATCGACAAGAATAATAATGCTTAAAATCAATTATTATTTTCCATTATAATCAATAAAATGACAATTTTAGTATACTAAAATGAATAACATAATAATTATAATAAGCTAATAATATACATCAACGAATTTGATACAAGCCTAATAATTTTCACCATGGGTTTTGACTGGATGAGATTTTTTAGCACAATACATTTTGTGCAAGATGGACAACTCTCGATGTGCCCGGGTAAAAATGCAACTGGAGACATTACATTGTTATACTTGCCATTTGTTCGAGTGAATAATTATTAATTACTTTATATAGTAAATACTTATTAATTGTTGCTTGCCTATTATAACTAGATTAATAACAAGCCAGCATTCGTGTATTTCGGTTGGGATTGGTCATTTTTTATGTACTTACAATGCGGACTATTGCTCCGGGTCAAATCGGCCATACAACACTCGGGTGATTGGAAAACGGTAAAATACATTTTAAAACAACAAGGTGGTAAATTAATGGTAAATTATTTACCTTGTTTAGTTGAGCAAGGCTGTGACCCTGCAGAACTTTGGAATGAGATCTGACTTTTTACCATATATAGATTTTCTACCCAAAGATTACACCTATAGTTACACAATATTGACAGCAATTAGACGCTCTGATAGTAGACAGTACTTTAAGTTTGTACCGGTTTTTAATTTACAGGTAGGTTGGTATTTATTTTGACCAAGGTTTAGTGATATAGTTTAAACACAATTTAAGCTATTGTACAAGATTTGTAGCATTTATTAATTGGCTTTACATAGGTTTGGGCATTAATCGCGCTATCATGTTTAATTACTGGAACAATATGGTCAATATTTCAAACAACTAAACTGGGTAAATTTCAAGCTATGATCGACGTGACTGCACCCCTGCTCGAGCAGACAATGCACACCACTCGCAAACTGACCCACATGTTAAACCGAACCAATCGACCATTATTAAACTACACCTTGCTTATAATGTTTAGCTTATGGTATTTAATGTGCGTGTTATTGACCAACACATTTGCCGAGAAAATAATGACCGGGATGTTTGCTCTGGATGTATATCCGGTGGTGGACTCGCTGGAGGAGTTAGTTCAAATGAAAAAAATCAAAATAGCATCAGATTATCACGATTTAAACGGTTTGGCACTCATTAAGCCCATAGAGAGTAAACTTTTAACCCCGCGACTCAAAAGTGATCGTAAATATTTTGATAATTTGCGCAAGGCCAAACAGCGTGATTACGAAACTGCACTTGTTGCCGGTATACATACTGGTAAATACGTTAGGCTAGATTACGAAGGTATGACACAAAATATGCGCCACACTTATGCGGGAAAGTTTCCACAGCTGTATATATCGGATAATAAGTATCGATATAATCCTCAAGCGGTTACTATCGGTAGGAAACATGATAAATATCGACAACTACTTAGCGCGTAAGTTTTCATTACGATCATGGTATAATTGATTAAACTATTTATGAACCATAATTTAAATAATATGCATGGTGAAATTAATATTTATACTGTATTAGCAAATTACAGTGTTGATATCATAATAATGAATTAATAATCTATATGAAGTTGAATTAATTTTTGATTAAACTAGCATTATACCAATATAACATTTCTTTATTATAAATTTTATGCATAGGTTCCGCATAGGGTTTGAGAACGGGCTGTATATTCACCAAAAATTGCAAACAGATATGATATTTCTGCACACTTTTGACACGACTCGTGAAAACAGACAGTTTTCCAGTGAAATGGA